CATCAACACAGCAAGAAGAACCACCATTGGAAGAACTAGATAGGATGAAGCTGAGGACACTAGACAGGAGGCAGGTTTTGGAGCAGACTAAACTGGGACAAGGCAGAGAAAGCAGAAGTCTGGGAGAGCTTGGAGTTGGGGCAAATCCAGTTTTCAAAAGAGGAAACAAGGCCCCAGGCCAGGCCAGATCTGACTGTTAAGGGAGAGGTAGACCAGGCAAACAGAGTAAGACTAAACAGCAGCTCCGAGGTAAGGTAGACATGAGAACCGTGTTCTGATTGTAAATCTCAGGAATGTGGGATCATGGGATCCCAGTTGTGAATCATGGGATTGGATGCCCTGCTTGTCAGTTTCATGTTTTTCTCTCCACACCACCTCAATCCCCCAGCACAGGAGGACCTTGACAATTGACGCCACTCTGCTGCTGCAATTCCAGCTGAAAGAGCTGGGAATTAAGGTTATTTGGTTGGGATGAAAGGGGTTAGAAATAAACTTCGACCATGGAGAAATGCAGGTGGAGCAATCAAAGCTCTGTGATGGCCAAGAACAAATAGATTCTTCAGACACGCAAAGGAAGGTGATGGCAGTTGAGGCCTGAGAAGGATGTCTGGCTCACACCTCACCTAACTCCTCCTCCTCTCAGAAATCCAAGGTCAGTGTATCTGAAGATGGTCTAGGAAAAAGAGACAACTCGTGAAAAACTGGAGAAATTGATGTTATTTATCTTAGAAAACCAGAGTGTTTGAAGGCCTTAAATCCATAGTGTGAGGTCCTAGAAGATTTCAGGCTTAAGACTTAGCAGTGCTAATTCAGGATAGATATGAGCAAATATCCTGGTAAGCACTTAGTTCCAGGTAGGAAAGGACTGGTTTCCCCCTCCTGACAGTCTTTCAAAACAGGGTGTACAGTGTGCTCCTCTTCCTTTGGCCTTGGATTAGGAGCTCTACTGTTAAGAAGCAGGTCGCTGAATCAAGTGATCTCTTTGACTGCAAGAAACTCCTGGCAAAGAAATGACAAGGGACCTTCTCGAGATCACCACATCCCATCATAGGTCTGCACAGGTACCTGAGAGTCTGAGAGGAGTGTGGTAATGAGTGTGGGCACCTGGTGCACCACCAGGCCTTTCCTTACCTACATCCCACCCACTTCCTACCCACATCCCCACTTCCCTTACACATAATATCCTTCGTCCCTCATTGATTGAGTACAGTCTGAGACCTCGTAGAGCCCTGGCCTAATCCCTTCAGTGATATCTTTGGGGCATCACACATTCCTTTCCTGATGACTCTCCTTGAGCAGGGCTCTGGAGTCCCGCCAGTCTTATTTCCTCTGCTGTCTCACTTGGTTTCCTCCAGCGGCAGGACTAGGTGGTTTAGAGCTCTATTCCTACCTAGAGGTCTTTAACCTCTCCCAGAAGCTTTTGCTCTGGTCCTTGCTTTCATTTCATTTCCCCCCAGCCTGAGCATCTTTATCTGGGCCCTGGGTTACTGTCTTTTGTGATCAATGAGGATTATGAGTAGTTTGTGATTCGGGGCTAGAAACTTATCCATTTTCCTTTGGACCATGTTTCTCCTTCCTCTGTCCTCTAAAATAAACACTCATCCTTTGACATTCCCTCTTGAAACTTTGACCTCTAATGTAGACCATAATGGTTAGCCTTTTTCTTTGAGCATCCCCAGGAGAACCAGGATTCTGCCCTCCCAAGACAGCAGGAGCCAGGCTATCTGCTTTATCATTCTAAGTAAGGCCTTTGCAAATCAAAAGTAAGATTTCTTCATTCTGGAGGACTGAGAAACGTGACTCTCTTACTTGCAGAAGAGGGAGGAAGAGGACACCTTTCGCTGCATATGAATGGTAGTCATTCCACAAAACTGTCATGACGGTTAAGAATGTTGCCAGAGATCCCTGGGCTCCCAGAGTGTAAGTGGTGTAAAAGAAAGAGGATGACTTCATGAGGCAGCTGGCCTGAATTCAAATCCACCTCCCTGTGTTTAATTTCAGGTTGGGGTGCTTAACCTCTCTGAGCCACAGATTCCTCAGTAGTAAGAGGGGAATAATTGTAACTCTTTAATAGGATTGCTCTGAGGATTGGAGGAGATAATGTCTATTAAGCACCTGACACTTAGTAGGTGCTCCATTACCTCCTTTCTACTCTAGTTCCCTTTGCCTTTTATGATCACCCACCAGCAAGCCATGAGTAGATTGGAAGAGGGACCATGGGAGACTCTGGGAACAGGCCTCAGGGTTTTCTTAGGAGACCCTAATTCTGCCCATGTCAAAGGTCATATGGGAAGAAGGAAGAAGAGAAGGCAAAGGAAAGAGAAAAAGCTTTGCAAGGGCATAGGAAGCATAAGCATATATATTTTTTCCTAATCCAGACTGAGAAAATACAGGATTCTATTCTCCAGGTGAAGCAATGCAACACTTGGATTTTCTGAAATATAGGAATAGGTGCGTGGACAGGTTTCCCTCTTTGAGTTGATCCCCTTTTCAGCAGGTTTTCAAGGTCCAATGTCAGACTGTGCCCAATCTGCCTGTATTGGCCCCTGAACCTATCGAACATGGATGGGGGTTTTACTATTCTGTCAACTTAATGATAGTCAGCTTGTTAACGATGAACCAAAAGGGAAAGGGTTTAGGGTTGTAACTAATGAATCTGAATAACGCTGTATTGCCTTGGAATGAATCCCTGACAAGAAGGTGATGGATGTAGAGAAATCCACATTCCTTTAGTTTCTGGCCCAGGGTCCATGTGGGATTGGTTGGTGTGATTGATTGCTCTGAAGGTAAGATGGATGAGGATGGAAGAGGCTTGGGAAAAGAAGGGACTAGGAGACTATGAACTTTTGGGGGAATTAGATGAAGTTTTCATGGAATTCCCATTGCTCTGGGTTTTCTTAGTGAAAATCTCTGATATAATCCCACAGTAAACACAAGGCTTGCTCTCCTGGAATGACGGTTTGAACAGGGCAGCAGGGATGGTTTTATTTCTGAAAATCCCCCTTGAGATTATTTGGGTATGTCAACAAGGTCCTGGGGAAAATGTTAAAGCATCAAGGGGCTTTGGTTGGAGATTCACTTAGAAATAAAGATTCAATAGAAAATCTACTTTGTTCACTTCACGAGCATAATGTCACAACTCAGGTTTCAGGATGGATACTTTGGCATCTGTATTTATTGAGGGTTTAACCTCAGTGCCAGATAATTTTGTGTTTTTGTTTTTTCTCTGAGCCCCAGGGAAATAATCTTTTCTTTTGGTTGCCTATTTCTTCACCACAATTTTTGTTCTTAAGTAGTTCTCTTCCATTCCCCCTTCTACTACTGCCATACATACTACAAACTTTCTCTGTAACTACTACGGTGTTTTTTTTTTTTAACAAAAACTTTCCTTTGGAGGAGGGACATAAAGGAAATCTTCCATTTTCTTGACATAGGCTACATTTTTATGGTTTCTCATTGTCTCTGGTCTCTGACATCTTTGGTAATTTTAAAAACGTACTAGAATGGCTGGCCTGTGGATCTCTTGAGAGAGCGTGGTGCTGACGACACCAAGGCAAGGGTTAAGATCCCCTTACCAGTCATCTTTTTTAAAAACCAAAAAACCTAAATACCAATGCACTAGAAGTAAGAGACCAGAGTAGACTTTCAAGGCACCTGCTTATGGTTTCTCTTAAGATGCCAACTTCCTTAATGAACATTTCACCTCCCTTCCCCCCCCCCCAAAAAAAGGGTCAGTTGTTCTTTTCTCACATTTAAAAAAATAACACATTAATTCTTTTTGATGACAAAAATATTTGTTTATTGTAGATGAACGTAAAAATACAGAAAAACAAAAAAGGAAAAGAAACCACTCTATTTTGGTATTGCATGATGGCAAATATTTTCATATTTTAAAAAACAAAATTGGATTCATTCTGAACATGCTGTTTTGTAATCAACTTTGTTCACTTCATTATACCGTGTGTATTCCATGTTACTAATATTTCACCCTAGGGCCTTGGGTTAACTAGTTTATGCTCCTGTTGAACATTTAAATTGTTTTCTAATTTAAAACAATAAGCTAGAGGTGTTTCCCACTCTTGTTTATTCAGCATATCTGAACTACCTCCTCCCTGCAGGGTGTGAGGACTGCAGACAGGAGAATCCCCAAACTGAGATATTCAGGGTTAGGAGACCAGTGGCTGAAACCTTGGGGTTCTATTATGGGAAAGCACCCCTCCTCCAAAGATTACCATTGGAAGATGTAGAAGTGCAAATGGAAGAAAGTAGAATCCACAACTCTCCTAGTCTGTTGCCCTGGGGCCCAGGTCTTGGTGTATAGACTACACCAAGAGGCTCAAGTTAAGAGAGCAAACACACTTTGAATACGTTACAAGATCAAAGGACTTCCTTATTCTCCAAGTAGCCTAGGTTGCATTAAAATAGCACCTTCTAAATCTGGGAGTCTGTATCGTTTTCCTATTGGCAGGTGCATGGGTCTCTTTTATATTATCTATCAAATATTGAAATCAAGGAAGCTGGATATTTCTAGTTTCCCCCTTAGCCTGGTGGATGATTGAGATACAGAAGCAGGGTTTCCCATTCTCCTTCTGATCCTCAATTTTCCGGAGGTAATAATTAAGCTGGATATATCCTACAAGCATTTATTGCAAAATGAAGTTGAGTTCCCAGTCTAGGAAAATAACAAAACGGAGTCATTTTACAGCTCTCTGGGGGAAAATTCCTCTTCTGGGGCCTTGTCTGGGTAAGTCGCCTGTCCACATAATGTGACCATTCCCTCTCCATGGCTCCAAGAGATGGTTTATGAGCTAGAAAATTCCTCAGGTTATGTTGGGTCCTGGTTTCCCCAGGCTTGGGTAGGGAAAACTTTTCAAAAGTGCACACTCAGGTAAAAAACCCAACACTCTGAAAAGCTCCCAATAGGCAGCTATGTGGTCTCTGCCTCATTTATTCACATGAATTTGCAGTTGGTCTTTCTGGAGCTAGTCAGAGTGGGGGAAGGTTGCTACTTCAGGAGCCTGAAGAGAACTCTTTCATTTTTTGCTTCCATTCCCTCTGATTCCCAGCAGCACAGCTGGGTTGGACATAGTCTGAAACTTAAAGGAACAGGTACTTTGGGGGGTCCCTCTGGATATGGACCCCTAACCAAACTCCCCCTTTACCAAGCTGCATAAGTACAAGCACAAAGACCAGGACATAACTTGAAGGAGAAATGAAATGGGGTTTCCCTAAATTAGGAGGCCCAGGTTCCAATTTCACCTCTGCCAAGAATATGCTCTATAACCTTGGGCCTCCATTTCCCCATCTATAGCAGATATCATGAGGACTACAGACCATTCCTGTTAGTTTTGTAAATGTTTTCTAATCTACTATCTCCGAGAGAGAAGCTGTGTCTTATCTCATGATGGGGCAAGTGAGTTTGCCAGGGGTGTTATCGGGTGCTGCCCGTACCCTGGGACTGGGCACTGCCTGGGGAGCGCATGCAGTAGTACTTGTTCACCACATGCCTACACTGGTCACATTTGACTGTACAGCACCACTGGAATTTGCAATTGCAGCTGCTCATGGCCTCAGTTCTCTTCTCTTCCACCTGCAGCCCGCACTCAGTACACAGGTGCCCACAGCTGTGTTGCTCCCACCTGGATGTGTTGTGGCTATTCTGTAGGCACTCGCGACCCTCTGTGCCATAGATGCCCAGACTGGAATTGCGGGTACAGTAATCTGGTGATTCCTCTAAAAAGATCAGCTCAGCATCTGCGCTAGGAAGGAAGACTTCACTGGGTGCCCAGCAGCCCTCAGCGCTGTTCCCAGCCCTTAGCCGCCGCTTATCCATCTCAATTTTCAGCGCCTGGTCATACTTGGCCTTTAGGTAGTCTCCCATCTCCCGGAAGTCAGCCAACTGCAGCCAGCACGTCTGGATGCTGCAGCTCCCTGAGATGCCATGACATTTGCAGGTCCTTTTCATTGTGGCTCTCACTGCCTTCACAGAGAGAGAATACAAAAGAGAGAATGGCTCTGGGTGGGGAAGACAAAAGGCTGGCGATTAAATGGGGTATTTAAGAGCTGTGCTTCTTGATTTTGCAGGAGCACAGAATTATTGGGGAAGCTCATAAGAAATATTTGTTCCTGGGCCCTACCTCAGGTCTTCTCAATGAGAATGTTCAGGGGTTTAAGGACCTGTTATTGGTGATTTTAAAGCTGCCCTGGGTGATTCTGATGGAGAGCCAGGCAAGTGTTGAGAAGGTGTTACTGGAGTCAGGGAACCTTGGCTCCAGGCCCTACCTTCATTGCTTGTTCAGATTGTTTCTCCATCTGTTCAATTGGAATAAGAATTGAATAAAACAATGATCAAGGAAGTACTTTGTAAATTATTTTTTAAAAATATGATAATTGACTCTGTTATTGTCTTGAAGCTGGGTACTAGAATATTTGTGGGGGTTTGGATTTTGTCCTCTGGGCCCCAGCTCCAGAGTCTAACCCTTATACTCTCAAGATAATTAATTACCCACAGTTGTACTTAACTTGAAAACCTCTTCCCCTTACCCTGGGCAACCAGGAAATCTAAGTACAGGTTTGCAGAGAAATTTCTGTATTCTTGGCTCTAAATCCAACCTGCTCCAGATTTCAGTTCAGAATACTCCAGAGATTGCTACCCCACCAGAAATCTTGGGGAAGTGTTCTAGTGCCCTCCAGAGAAGCCTAGATCAGTCCTATCCCCTAGCAGCCCAGACAGACTTCAAGACACAATGCTGGACAATAAGCCCTTGTTAATTTCCTAGAACATGCAGTTGAAGTGATTAAAAATTTAAGTCATGGAAGCAAGGCCTTGACTTTGTATTGTTCTGTAACCTCAGAAACATGCCTGAGGAGAGGGCTGGAGCATAAGCCACTTGGCTCATACTTAACTGGCTTTGTCATCCACAGATGGGGTAGCCATCTCAGTCCTGCTGGATGGTGTGAGAATGAAATGTGGGTATGAGACAGCTCTTGGTAAGTTGTGAAGGGCTGTGCAGATGTGAAGCTGTTGCCAATATTGGCTGACTCCTATACCCACCAGCCTGCCGGCCCTGTTGTTGTGAAGATTCATCAGGGCTCTGGCATCCTTTCCCTTCTCCAAACTGTCCACAAAGAGTTTAGAGATCCTTTCCCCAAATTCCACATTGTCGCTGCAGCCTCCCCAGATCCAGCCATGGCCTCCTACACATAAGGAAAGAATAAGTTCTGCATATAGCTCCCTGCTAAGTTTCAGGAGAAGAGTCATAGTCTTTTTGGCTGACACAGCTGAACCATCCCCAAGAGCCCTAGAAGGGTGTAAAGCCATAGCTAAAGGTGAGACAGGGAAATGGAAGTGCTTGGGGTAAGTGGGGAGAGTCTTGTTTCCAGAGCCAACTGCCCACCCTTCAGGTACTTCTCAGCTCTAGGCAATTAGTTTTCTACACCCAGTTAAAAGTATGCACACTGGGGCTCACCTAGATTATCTCAAAAGTTCATTGCCGCTCAAACACTGTGGAATTCTGCACCAGTATTCTGCAATAGTCTTGTTAGAGCCACCTTTTCCTTCATTAGTGACAAATCTAAGTCTCTTAGGTGGTCTGTAAATAGCTGAGTAGCTCTGGATTATGGACAAGCCATGCCAAGCCTGAAATACCTAGCTTTAAACTCTCTTTGGCCTTCTCATTCCTAGTCATCTTGTATTAGAGGTACTTCCCAATCCCTGGACTCATGGACCCAGGCTCAGATCTCAGGAAAGTCCAGGTCCAGGAGCTCCCACAATTGAAGGAGCTGCTGGTGTCTAGGGATTTGAGGAAACTGTGTTCCTCAGCCATCCCCTGGAAGACTTTAGCCTGCACCCAACTCTACAGCCCCTCACCTCTTCCCAGTCCCATCAGTAAGCCCAACTTACCAGTTTTTCCATTTTTTGATTCATCACAGCCACAGTTTTCGAAGTCACCCATGCTACAGTTCTTGGTGATGGTGTACATCACTCCAGCAGAGCTGATCGCATGAATGAAGGAAGTCTCTCTGGTGGCTTTGGAGAGAAAGAGGGGACTGACTGGAAACTTGGACCCTGATGACCCAAAGAAGAGGCTTTGGAAAAACAATGCTGTTTCTCTCCCCTATCTCCCACCTCCTCTGAGTTGAAGAGGATGCTTTTCTACTTGAGCAATGCCTGTCTTTTGAGCCTCCGTACTTCATCTAGGCAGGAATGAGCATCCCCTTGCTACAGATGGGGAAAGTAAAAGCCAGAGACATAATGAAGAGACCAAGACCACTCTCCAGTTGTGGGGTTGGGATCAAGACCTTGCTCTCCTGAAGTCCAGCCTTGACCTCTGTCTACTAGCCACTGCGGCTGGTCCTTGGGCAGTGAGATGCAGGCCCAGGAGGCTGGCTTAGGAAAGAGAGAAGGATCTTTTCTTCTCTCTGGCCATGGAGCTGAGGCCATGTAATAATCATAATAATCATGGCTGCCACTTACTGAACTCTTATCTTACTAAACTCTTCACAAACATTGTCACATTTCATTTCCACATACTCCCTATTCTCTCTGTATATCCCATGGCAAGATATTTCTTTCTGTCCCCATCTTCTTTACTCCCTTCCGCCCAATTCTTCTCATGCAACTCTCTATTGTTTCTACAAAAATGACTTTTATGCAAACTACTGCACACAGTTACAAACAGCTGCACACACACCTGAGGCACAGCTCAGTGTGATCTCTCAGCTTATCTGTTGTTGAAATTTTACGGCAATTGAGCATATGTGATGCAGAGCCCTTTCCCCATTTTTATTTCATGCAAATCACTGCAAGATAAGTGTGTTCAAATACACAAACACAGGCATGCACTAAAAAAATAATTTCTTACATATGTATAGAGATACCTTATATCCGCCTCATTCAACACTTAGAATACTCCTGATGAGCTAAACAGAGCTGGTGTTACTGACCCAAATGCCAAAACGGGTTGAGAGAGGGTAAGTAACTCACTCAAGGTCATACAGCAAGGAAATGGCAGGTCAGCAGATCCCTGGTAACTTTTTAGTTCACTGTGCACATACACATCACACATATACATACACTGCAAGCCCACCTCCATGCACATATACTCCTCAGACAGGTGTAGTCCCACACAAACTTACCACTTCTCAGCCTGTTGTGGGTGGAGAGCTGGAGAGCATTTTCAGGGCAATTCCAGCGTTCCCAAGCAAACTGGAACTTACACTCCTCGATGCCACTCTGGGCACCCAAGGCCACACTGGTAGTGTAGGTCAGATAGGCCTGGCAAAGGGGAAAAGCCTGTGAGCTTCCACCCACTGCAGATCGTCTGGGGTAGGGGGAGTGGGCAGGAGTCAAATAGCCCATCTGAGTCCCAGCCAGCTCTCCATTAAGAAACAGTGACAGGTTCTGCTGGGTGAGGGGGTCCTGGCACTGTCTCCCTTCCCCTCTTTTCTTTCCCCAGAAGAGTCCCCTTAGGAACCACAATGTGTAAAAACAGGAGTGGGAGGCCATCCTACCTTGGGACCTGTTATGAGGAAATTGTTCACAGACCTGCCAAAAAGAAAAAGTGAGGCAGAGATGAATGAGATGAGACAACGAGGGCTTCCTTGGCAGGGAGTGAGGTGTGGGGGAAAGGACTTACCAGGCCGAGGCACGGAAGGTGGCACAGCATGTGCCCACAGCCACCCAGAACATAAACAGGTCCCCCATAACCCAGCCCACCCCAGGGGACCAGGTCCAGCTCAGGGCCAAGTCCAGAGAAGAAGTGAGGAGAGAGCAGGGTCTTTCTCAGTATTTATGTGGGGAAATTCTGAATGGCCAAGGGGAAAAAATCAACAGCTCTTCTCATTTGTCCCTCACTGGCAGGGCTGCAGGAGCCACTAACCCAATGGGGGATCAGGGAGGAGGGACTCAGCCCAAAGCCTTCAAGGAAAACTCCGCCCTACCCAGCCTGGCCAGTCCTTCTTCCCTCCCACACTGAGAGAGGGGCTAAAACCTTTCTCCTATCCTTGAGGTTTATTTCCTCTATAAGTCAGTTTTGTCTGTTCCTACTTGAGGGCCCATTTCTCAGAATCATGTGGCCCAGAGCAGTCTGGGTCCCTAACCCTGAAGGCAGGTCATCTATCTCTTGGAGCTACAGCGTTCTCATCTGTCAATGAGACCCCTCTCTTTACCCTGCCTTCCTCCCAAGGAGTTAATAATCATAGAGGAACTCTATTTGGGGCCCCCTCCTGCTCATTTACCCAAACAAGTGAGTGCACTGTCCCTACCCTTGATGACTGTGAGGTGATGGAATTGTGGGACCATGGAGGCGAAACATTTTAGAGACCATCTCTGCAACAGTCTCTTTTACCACATTGTACCAAAGTAAGTTCTGGTAAATTTCCTTCATTCCTAGTAAGTAGGTATATCCTTTTATATCAGATGGTTAGATCTCCAGTTTGTTAATTGCTCATACACATATACCTGAGAATCAACCATTGGGCCACCCAAGGCTGTATTTGAAAAGACTGATGCCTTTCTTTCCGATACTACTTTGTTACTGGGACTTCAGCTTCTCAGGCCGAATCTGTCTTTTAAATTTACTTTGTGTTCTTAGTGCTTAAGAAGGTGCCTGGAAGAATTAATGAATGAATGAAAGAACATGTGGCCCCTAGTAGGGACTCCAGGCACCATAGGTAGGGTTGGGGACTCCAGTGAAGGCAATAGGGGTCTTTCTTGTTTGGCGAAGTTCTTTTTAGGGTTGGTGAAAGAAGGCTAGAGAAATTCAGGAAAGTTATGGTTCTGACTCATTATCCTGTGACCATCATAGTATCCAGATCACTTCCCAGCACCCTGGACCTGGTTTGGATGGGAAGGGGAGTTCAGAAATTCCCCCCTCTAAAAGAGCTCCAGGGGCCAAGGGGTCCCCAGGCCTCTTTAGGGCAGAACACTCAAAGTATGGGCCAGGACTGGTGTCAGTCTGCAAACTGATTATTGTCCTTCTGTGACAAGATAAGAATGAAAATGGAAGTATTTAGGAATTTTTTATAGCAATTTGATGGAATAATTTTAGATACATTGAACTTAATAAAAAATTTGGGCTTCTATCTTGTATGTCTTTTTTCTTGATTCCTTTTTCTGGAAGGATGGGTGTGAAAAGCAGTCTCCTTCTTTGCCTGCTTATGGGCTTCTCTGCTTGGGGAAAAGAGAGTCTCAGACTCGAGTCACTTGGGAAAAGCTGGCTGAGTTTGCCTCAGTGGATTTTTCTCTGTCTTCTACTTTTCCCAATCAAGAATCTAATGTTTAACTTTCACTTCTTAAGGCAACAGGGTTAATTTCCATGCCACTCACTGTGGGGTCAGAGCAGGGTTAGTGATATCCCTGTGGTAGTTCCCCACCTCCTCATTGTAAGAGTTTTAGGAGTGACTCCACATTCACTTCCTGCGTATGAGTGATTGGGTCATATTCTTGTTTCCCCCATAGCACCTGGCATTTAGTTGGTACTCTACAAAAAAATCTTTTTTTGATCCCTGTACTGGCCAGCCATTAAAAAAAAAAAAATCATGGGCCGGCCCGGTGGCTCACTCGGTAGAGTGCAGTGCTTGGGAGTGTGGCGGCGCTCCCACCGAGGGTTCAGATCCCATATAGAGACCGGTCCGCTCACTGGTTGAGCGCGGTGCGGGCGCGACACCGAGGGTTGCGATCCTGTTGCCGGTCACAGTACGGGCGCGACACCGAGGGTTGCGATCCTGTTGCCGGTCACAGTACGGGCGCGACACCGAGGGTTGCGATCCTGTTGCCGGTCACAGTACGGGCGCGACACCGAGGGTTGCGATCCTGTTGCCGGTCACAGTACGGGCGCGACACCGAGGGTTGCGATCCTGTTGCCGGTCACAGTACGGGCGCGACACCGAGGGTTGCGATCCTGTTGCCGGTCACAGTACGGGCGCGACACCGAGGGTTGCGATCCTGTTGCCGGTCACAGTACGGGCGCGACACCGAGGGTTGCGATCCTGTTGCCGGTCACAGTACGGGCGCGACACCGAGGGTTGCGATCCTGTTACCGGTCACGAAAAAAGACAAAAAGGAAAAAAAAAATCATTTATTTTCTACAGGCAGAGGGAAGATAGTGAGTTTTTTTGTGTGCAAACTTTGTGCTTGTTCCTGCTCAGATTCTCTGAAGGTCATATAGTTTCTCTAAATGGAACTGAGGATGTTAAGGAAAGGCCTCTGGTCCAGGTATCAGGAGTCTTGGGCTTTGGCCACTAATTTGTTGTGTGACCTTGGGCAAGCTATTTACCACCATGTGGACTCAGTTTCTTCATTTGTAAACTGAGTGGGGAAAGTGTTGAACATTGAATGATCCCTCAAGACTATCCCAGCTCTCTTACATGCTGTAATCCTAATGTTAAGATTTATAGAATTTATTAACCCCAGAGGTGACTATAGGCCTGAAATGGGGAAATCTTACTTCCCTGCTGTGAGCATGACAGTCATCTTGTTCATCTCTGAATCCTGCAGCTGGACATCAGATGGACCTTTAAGAAGATACCTGGAGGACAACCAACACCTTTGTCAGAGTCCATTGGGGTCTGTCTACATAAGACCCCTGTGCTGGACTGACTAATGTCCTTCATTGCAAGCAGCAGTTCCCTTGGAAGAAGAGGAGAGCCAGAGACAGGCATTCTGCTGAGTCTGCAAATTATTTCCAGCCAACCTGTCCATCAATTTCCTTAGCCCCAGCTGTATTATCACATTAGTTTTTCAGTGATGATCCAACTTTTGGTTTGTCTCTTCCAGGAATGGAAATCTGGAGCTGAAGGCCAAACAGAAGATGACAATGGAGATAGACTGAATAGCAGTGTCTCTGAAGCAGTGGTGTGTTAGTAAGTGTTTAACAACTGGCTTTGGCATGGCAGGAGCCATATTGGTATCGCTTGCTGATTTTCATGGTGTAAATATTTCCACCATCGCTCATTTCGAACCGCCAATGTGAATTTGGGAAGAGATGCACAGTAGCATATCATTATTCAGTATTTCTAAGATATAGATATATTGGATGTAAATAACCTCGAGTTTATAAGTAATAGTAAATGTAGAAAAGTAATTAGAAAGCAATTGATTTTGAGTATTTATCTTTGTTTTTATATAATTTACTTAATAGTAAGTTTATATAATTTAATTTTAATAGTGGCTGTATTTAACAACCAGTTTGCAAAATTCCTGAGAATATAACAATCAGCTCTCAGGAACAGGTAGAAGCCACCTCCAGCACACCACTGAAGCCTAGTATCCTCCCTCTAGGCCACTGGGAGATAAAGTACAAAAGATTTCCTTGTGGAACTTAATACCGAATAATTGTTCCAGTTATGTGCAAGGGTTTAACTCTTGCTGAGTCATAAGTCTTGCTACCTGCCTTCAAGAAGCTTAGTATCCAGTAAATAGGAGACAAGGCGTGTATCTATGATGTAGGGCAGAAAGTGGAATACAATGGATAAGTGCATGTGCCTCTGGAAAGGCATTCATGGAGCTAGAAAGGAGGTAGACCCAGGTAATTCTAATTCCACCACTAATATTCCAGGATGATGAGATTCTAGGAGTCCTAGGGAAACACTAGGGGCTGTATTCAGTAAGGAATAAATCCGAGTCACCGCTGCTGTGCCCAGCTTCAGGAAATCTAGAGGCCCTTCATGGAACCACAGAGTGTTTGAATTAGAGTCCCATTTTACAAGGAGGCAACTGAGACCGAGAGAGAGGGAACTTACTCAGGGTCACACAGTAAGTTGGGACCAAGAGAGCCTGGATCACAATATCTTGGTTTGCCCAGGACTGAGAGGTTTCTCATGGTGTGGGACTTTCAGTGCTAAAACCAGACTGGCCTTGAGCAAACCTGTATGGTTGGTCACCCTACAACAAAGGTATGTATCCCAGGCCCACGCTTCTTTCCAAATGTGCACTTGCACTAAACTGCCCAAATCCTTGGTTTCCCCACATTTCTTTTCCAGGCTCCTTGTAGGGCTCTGGGCCTATGGGACCTGCTTAGACTATGGAACAAGTGGAGGAAGAGTTGGGAGGGACTGGAGAGGGGGTGGAGGTGACTGGAGAATGCCAAAAGAGAAAGAGGTAGGATTTCTGACTTTTTACACTTCTCTGCTAATTAGATAAGGAGGTGGTGGGAAGGGGGAGAATGAGCCTCCATGCATATTCTTCAGAGCTGTGACACTGAGCAGAGACCAGGGATTTTTCAATCTCTGGTCTCCACCCTCCCCCCTGGAAACTTCCCACCCCCGGGGATACTTGACTCCCAGTTCAAATGCCACAGCTGCTTGAGCTCCTGACCCTTCCTTTGGCCCCCTCAATTTAGCCTCAATGACTCGCCAAGTTCCCCAACAATAAGCTCACGAACAAAGTGGGGAATATATCAGTTTTCTCTTTCAGATCCAGGGTTGCAGGTGTGGGGAGGGAAATAGGAGGCCATCCTGTGTGGGAAATGGGAGTGACTGGTGGTCTGTTGAACACATGGGCCTGTGAGGGCTGGGGTACATTAGGGGGGATCAATCTGCAAGACATGACTATAATGTCAGAGGTAGGGTCCAGGGAACCAGTAGTCAGCCTCAACCCAACCTATCCTCTTACCAGGTTCTTGACTCTGCCACAGGAAAGAATTCAAGAGGAGAGTCACAGTAGAAAGTGAGGACAGGTTTAATATAACGAATAAGAGGCACAGATTTCACAGAGAGAGTGTGGCCTAGCTCCAGAGGCTGAGCAGGGCCCACAGCAAGTTTAACACAAAAGCAAGACATGCATACTTAAAGTTCAGTACAAAATGCAGGCTGGCTCAAGAGTGAGCAGCCACTTGCTGAAAGTAAGTTTGATACAAAAAGAAAGAAATACACACTCCACAGGCAGAGTGTAGGCTGGTTCCAGGAG